GTTTTCATTTTCATTACTATTAGTACTGTTAACCCAATGCCGCTGGGGATGGCATGCCATGCCCACTGTGAGTCGACTTGTTTGATTGTTTTTACACATAGATGGCTACACTTGTACTAAGTCACCAGTTAGCCAATTACGAGTACTGCTTGTCTCGCCCGTTCACCCTTTTCATCGATTTACAAAAATATTTAAAGTTATCCTAATTTACTGTTAAAAATAACACCATCTATATTTATAGCACTAGCAAGAATGTATTTTTTCCCACCAACTCAAGGAAAGGTGAAATCAGGACTAGCAGAGCCATCTATGTACAGAAATATTTCACAAAAATATAAAAAATGAGTACATCATTTTCCCCATTTTTTATTAATTTTCCCCGGCGGCAATGGGTTAATGGTGTCTTAAAATAACCATGTCAATAAGTATAATAATGACAATAATACCATCAAAAATAAAAATGTCTTTTGGATAAAAATGAGAAAAGGGGTAAAAATGTGAGGTCAGGTAAGCCTAATAGCAGACTCCTAGAAGACTCAGCAATTATGAAACAATGTATGTGTAAATATAATGAACAAATTAAAACTGCCTTGGGCTGTGTATATACCAATCAGCCATTGGTTAAAAAGCATAAAAAATAAACTCATCCTCAATTTTACATCATCCAACACAGACCAAAACCTTCCCCAAACCAACAGAGTTACTTGCATTCTGTGCTTCCATCTTGGGGCTATCGACGGCAATGGCAGCCTCCTCAAAGTTGGCATTTGCCGAGAGCACAGACGACAAGGAGAGCAGGGCCTCCGTGGCATCGACGCTACTCTCCTGGTGGTCACCATTGAAGAGCCTGACCGTCCAAGCATATCCTGACAGGACATTCAGGATGTTGAAGGGGACGGTTGGAGACGGGGAGCCTTTCTGTGGGAGAGAGAAAACTTTTGTAATTTTCTAGCGGTGAGAAACTGCTCAAGGAGGGAGAGGTGAAAATGAAGATCAGGTATGGGGGGGGGGGGGTCATAAGTCATGTTTCCTCTCTGGGCTCTAGTATCTAATTCTTCATTCTTGCACAGTCCTTCATAGCATATGCCTGTTTGTCTGTGCCTGCCTGCATACATGCCTGCCTCTTGGACTTACTGACTGACTGTCTGTCTGTGCCTGACTGACTGACTGCTAGTCTGCCCTACTGACGATTGACTGACTATATGACTGACTAACTGTTGACTGATTGTGAGCATACCTGTGTTCTTGCTTGCTTGCTTTTTACCTGCCTGCCTGTCTCTCTCTCTCTCTCTCTGATATATATATTTATATACATATGTATACACACACACACACACACACACAAAAGAAAACCTCTAGGCTTCACATATTTTGAATCTAGAATCTGTTTTCTGTTTAGATCTATTAAGACATATACTGTAATTTAAAATCCTTAATTTCATATATAACTTTTAGTTTACAGACATTTCTGAAACATTATTTTCCAATTCTGTTTCCAATGCTAGGCTACACAGATGCCCATTTGCTTATCTTTATCAATACAGGTATAGAAATATGTATGTCTATATCTAGCTATATTTACCTACATCTAAAGATCTATATCTATGTTCATCTATATATAGGATGCAATACTGGAAGTGTTAATGAGTGATGCATACTATTTTTAAAACTAAAATCAGCATAAATAAAAATATACAAATACTCATAATGATGAGTTTGATGATGATGGTAAATTTGAACAGAATTACTAATTTTCCTTGTCTTATGAGATTTTCAAATAAGCTGCTCCCTCTGAAAAAATGGATGTCTTTTGGCCTGGTATGTTGACATTCCTTTTATAGCATGAAATATAGAATACAATGAAACTATATAAATAAGCATGCAGAAAAATATACAATGATATACCAGATAAGGTATACAGAGTAACAGAACAAGCCAGGTATCCTGTTACCTCACCATCACTTGACTAAGTAAGGGAACGTCTACAAGCGGCGGGCATTTGGCCACATACGCAGGGACAATCTGGTGACCCGGGCTGATCTCCTGGACGGGCGGGACCTCCTGCTCCCACCAGGGACTCCAGGGGGGGAGCAGGTCATCGAAGCTGCCCGAGTTGACTAGCTGACGGAACTCTTGACGCTCTTTCTCCGTGAGCTTCTTCCAGACAGCTTCGCTGTCATTGAGGTCGATGTCTGTGGAGAGATGATGAACTAAGAAAGCAGCTAAAGAGATGATAAGTGAAACAAAATTAGGAATGAAGACACTGGATAAGATTCAACCCATCAACCCATGCCTGTCAGTTTGGGATTAAAGTAGAGGGAAATTGGTAAGCAACATGAAGAGACAATGATAAAGTACACAAAAACAAAAATAAACAGTTGTGAAAATTGTGATTTAAATTTCTAAATAATAATAATAATAACAAAAAATCCATCAAACAATCCATTCCTAAGAACTCCTCTAAACAATTTTTCCTTTTAGTTTTTCCTTCTGAATATTAGCAAAATAATAGCTTTTGACAGAGCACCTGCCATCCTAACAGCAAGGTCATCATCATCTTCATCGTCTGAGTCCAGGGGTTCATCCACATTATCAGGTAAAATAGATTCGCCAGCCTCCACGCGGCGCAAGATCTCAAGCATTTTCTTGCGGGATTCTTCAGACACGGTTCCACTTCTGAGCTGTTGAAGGAGACGAGAGGAAACATAATTAGTATGCTTTCTGATTTGCCTGACTTATGTTCTGGTCTTACATTATATAGGGGGTGTTATCAGATATTCAGATGTTTTCCTTATCTTTAAAATTCTTTACAAACCAAGAATAATTCACACTTCTATCATTATGACTATCATATAAGTCACTTCAATCTACAGCTAATAATTCATAAGTCCTTCCCTGACACAATCAACTAGATAACCCTTATAACAAATCATCCAATAACATAATATGAAGACAGACGAAGGAAGTTTCAAATTAATTTTCCCATAGGAACAAAAGTACCCCTTTCCTACCTCTGCTTCTACCATGTCCTTGTAGAAGCTCTCGGAGCAGCGTGCATGTGATGCATGCTTGTAGCAACTGGATGAACAGTATGCAAAATTGCAGCGAGGGCACGTATATCTTGCTGCATTTCTACAGCTGGGGAGGAAAATGAATAAAATATTATTTATGTGATATACCATTGTATACAGTATTGACATCCAATCTATTCAGATAATAAGACCAATCCACTTCCACTTTTTACTCGGTCTAGTTATATTATAGTTCAGTGACTATAAAGTGTAGTAAGAATATAATGCAGTAAATGTCAGAATGCTTGCACATCACAAATCACAACAATAGTGGTAGCTACTGTTGGATTCCTGCCACCATCTAGTAGTCATATATATAGGAATTATGGCTTAGAAATCCTCCCACACCTCACAAACTTGAGAGAATATCAGGGAAACTGCAGGACATATATAATATGAATGAAAATGTGCAGTGATATATATGACGTTTATCAATTATGCAGGGATATGCATTAGCTGCGCCCCTTAAATGGTAGCTACTACCCCAAAGTCCCCTCCCTGGGAGACAAACATCTACCACATATACACAGCAAACAATGAAAAACACAGTCATGATGTAGTGAAATGTAAGAGGAGTCACACATGTTGTGCAGGGCCTATACCCCATGCAACCCTGCCAGCATGTGAAGGTTAGTGTGCTTGAGATTGGTTCTATACTCCATACTGCTGGATATATGTGAAGGATGTTTGTCTTCCAATGTGGGGTTTGGAGGGGATCATTTATACCTCATTTTTTCATCACAGTTTGCCCTGTAATTTTGTGCATATCCTCCCAGGTTGTCCCCTACTACCAGAGTAAAATTTAATGGGGGAGATATTGGGGGGATTCTCTAAATCCTACGAGAAGAGTAAATAGTGAGAGGAATCCATCAGTACCACTATCATTGTTATCTGTGATGCACAAGTATTCTAAACGATTAACTATGACACTATATAGCCTCTCAATAAACACCCGTAATCCCGTACGACTCACAAATTCATATATGGGAGAAAAGAAAAATGTAATTGTTGTGATACAAATTAATTCGAACTAGTAGTGCTAAACTACAACTCTAATTCTTTTATAAAACAAAATCAAGCAGACACTTTGTAGTGTTTTCAGGAAGACTCTACTCCTTATGTATCATAGTAACGGAGACATTATTCTTAAATGTCATTACCAATTCATCCAATCACACTGCGTTTCGGCACTTCCCAAATCAACAAATTAAATGAAATATTAACAAATTGCAACGTAACATACAACAAAAAGCTATCCAAAAACGTGAAAGAAAATTATCTGATGACCTTCCTCGCTAAAGCCAGAACCAGACCGCGACAACGAAACCTTTAGCAAAAACAACAGAAAAAAACAAAGAAAACAACAAAACAAAAAGAAAAAAAAACAACGAAAACAACAAAACGAAAGAAAAGCCCTCGTCCCCATCAGGAGGCGCATCTCCCTCCCACTTCAACTTCCCCCCCCCTCCTTCCCCGCGCCTGACACCCGCCCGCAGCCCTGGTCGAGGACGTCCTCGCTGCCCCACACACCCCAGAGGATGTCCCGACGACGTCCCCTTCACTTACAAGGCGCACTTCCCTCCCGGAGCCGAGGAACTTGCCATCTCGGAGGCGGCGAGGAGGAGGCGAGGGCGGGGGGGGGGGCGTGCCTTTAGGAAAAGGTTTCTCAAGGATGGGCGGCTTTGGGGGCTGCTCTAAAGTATTCTCCTAAATGGGTGAAATAGCACTCCTAGTATATTGTTCCTATATCTTTATGATGGCTCTGCTATGTTTATATGCTGCTAATGTGAGCGTTCTTCCTAAAAAATGACAGATAAAAGAATCTTAGATTCGTTTCCGATCCTTGGCTACAAGAACGGCTTTGTTTACAATTTGGCCTTGACTTTTGGTGCGGTTCTTTGTATGTATTTATACATGCATACATATATA